AATAAAATTATTGTTTTATACAGAAAAGTATAAAAATATTTTGCGATTAACTATAACAATAAATTCAATCATTCGATGATTTATAAAACAATTCATTCAATATTTCAGTCACTAATAAAAAGTTAATAATTTATTATTAATACAATGCTAACAAAGAAAATGATTATAAAAATATGTATAAATTATTGCATTAAACATATAATTCAACAAATATATCCATTAATTGAGTGGAATTTCTAACATTAATACTCATCAAAACAAATTCATAAAACAAGTAAACATTTTGTAATTATTTGCACTTTCGGTTAACAGTGAGCCTAAAAACATTAAGTAAATATAATTTCTTTTAGTTATATTGTAATAAAATAACACAATTATTGCAAATACTGTAAGTCATGATTAAGTTGTGATTAATAAATGCATAAAAAAGCTCAAAACAATAGATTTTAAAAAAAGTTAAAAAGTTTGCGATAAAATAATAAAGTTATAAAATATATTCAATCTGAGGGTTGAATGTTAGCAGCGCTGTCACCACTACTACTGACCCCTAATTCAGTAATCAATGGTAGCAATGGAGTCGACATATCCTTATCGACGGGAGTCTGTTCATCGAGTTTCACATTTTGTTCGCCATTTAATACTCCATCGCTTTCCTCGTCAAACACATCATTAGATTCAATGGACAGACATATAGACGAGTCAAAGGCATCCATATTTGGTTCGGAGCCCACAGTGGGACAAATGGTCTCGCTTTGAGCGCCGCCAGTCTTGCGCACCATATCGTACCACAACTGCAACTCTAATGGTGTCTTAATATTGGATTTGGAAATACTGGTCGTATTCTTGTTATGGTGTGCCTCAGCGCTCAACCGTCGGATCCTTTCGCTGGTCTTGTACTGGTTGTACTCATTCAGAATCTATAGTCACCACAAATGCTCGTTAATATCAAATTAACAATTTATAATACAAGTGTGAAATACCTGGATCATTGGCGGTCGTCTATTCTTGGACCTGTGGGCGCACTTTCGGCCCAAATCTAGCAAACACTCGAACCAATTGACTGATTCGGTGCCATCGGCTATGCGCTTATCCAACAGCTTTGAGTAGTCTTTAATACCGTTTTTATCAGCATTTTTAATCTCATCCTCAATGAAGTCAATGAGCAGTTTCTTGCCATCGAAGGCACGCTTTCCGGTCGCCATTTCCAGCAAAACTATGCCATAACTATAGACATCGACGGCTGGACTCAATATCCGTTGTCTTAGATACTCAAACGGCAGGTAAACACTGGTTCCGTGAACGGCGCTCACAGTACAGTGCGTGTAGAGACCACTACCGGTGCTGACCTGTCGCGCGAGACCAAAGTCACCCAATTTGGGTTCGAAGAGCTGATCCAGGAGTACGTTCGCACTCTTGACGTCCCCGTGAACGAAGGCATTGCCCTTAAGTGTGTGCAAGTAATTGAGCGCTCGGGCGATGCCTTCGCCGATGTTGATCCTCTGCGGCCATACCAAGGGCTTTGTGTTGGCCTTACAAAGCAGTCTGTCCTCGAGTGACCCGTTGGGCATATACTGGTACACCAGACAGGGCTCCACGCCGTCCAGACTCACGCCATAAATGGGCAAAATATTGTCGATTCGATACCTATTCAGTACTCGGAGTTCAGTCAACGCTTGAGATCTATTAGATTAATGATAATAGAGATCTTAATATGTCCACAATCTGGGCACTAATCTATCAGATTATCTCTAACATACATGTCATTGAACCCTTTAAGCCTCTTAATGGCCACATTAGTGCCCTTCCACTCGCCCTTATATACGGTGCCAAAGCCTCCATTCCCTAACACCCGTTCCTTAGCGAAGTCATCGGTGGCAATGAGTAGCTCCTTATACGGCACTTCCATCTCATCACTAGTAGTCTCAGCCAAAGATTTGTTGCGTTTATTATCACTTATATGACAATCAAAATTGTTTTGCTTTTTGCCATTCATATCATTATTGGGGTTATCATTGAGATTGGGGTCCAAATCATTGAGATTTTTGTTCAGTATTTTCTTTTCAGTCATTAATTGTGTTGAATCTGAACACAAGAACAAAGGCATCAATTGAAGTGATAATCAATTTAGTCATACAATGAAAATGCCATTCAATTCATACCGTATTTAGTAGTGTTTTGTTCGTAAGTTTTGCCGTTATTTTCGACAAACAAATTGTTTTGCATCTGATTTAGCGATGGATTGAGTGACGGATTGAGTGACGGATTCATAGCGGCGGCCACCGCTTGAATGGCCGACAAATCGTAGTGATCTTCGTCGGCATCGGCGTCGGGACACAACTGTCTCAGCCGTGGCTCCACATAAGGCTTCAGTATAAGCATCGCTCTCTTGTGTCCCATTTGCGCCAAATTGATGAACAATTGGCTCACTTTGGCGGCACTGGTCTCCCATTTGGTGAGCAACTCGTTGGTGGGCGAAGAGTTGCGGATCAGTGCGTGCGATATGAGCGTCAAAGAGGTGTCGTTGAGGTTCATGTACTGACCGCCCAATTGCCGCCACGACTGGTCCGCGTCCAAGAGGTCGCACAACTGTTTGCGACAATTGTATGGCAACTCATAGATGTATTGGACACTTGATCCCATGGACGCACACTTGGCTGAGGCCGTCATCGGCGGTGTTTGACCACTGTTTCGGTGATAGCAACTGTTGCCAGTGGTTGTCGAGTAGGTGTTCTTGGCGTCCATTATCTCATCCACAGTCGATGNGGCAACTCATAGATGTATTGGACACTTGATCCCATGGACGCACACTTGGCTGAGGCCGTCATCGGCGGTGTTTGACCACTGTTTCGGTGATAGCAACTGTTGCCAGTGTTTGTCGAGTAGGTGTTCTTGGCGTCCATTATCTCATCCCCAGTCGATGTCTCATACTATGCCCGACACACGTGTGGATCAATTGATCTGTGATTATCTGTTCACCTCTTGGGTGACCATTGAGTTGACACGAAATGAATGCACAAAACGTTTTGCAAATTGTTTTCACTGTTTGTGTAATTGTTTTGCATTTCATATTCACTTGAAATACGCTTTTTATGACTAAAACTCCCATTGAATACGGTTTCCATGCGTGCAGTTTCAGTACCTTTTAATATGTGATGAAAGCTTTACGATAGCGTCGATCGTAGTCATAGAAAGCCATAAAACTCAAAGTACTCTTGCATTGAAATATTTGATCGCAAAGTGGTTTTAAATGTTACGTGAAATGCAAAACGATATTAATATCTAATTTAGAAAACTGGTTGTAAATGAGCGCATCATTTGATAACTAGACTATCTGTTAGGCTAATAGCATATTAACGTCTTATAGTTTTCAAATCAGAGTATTATATACATTCATAATTGTATCTAATTTAAGGTTAAAATTTTTATATATGGAAAAGAACCTTGCTACTAATAAACTTGCCTTACAGTTAGAATTGTATACTTCAAAACTTTTTTAATTAGAATTTATGTTAGATTTTGATCAATATTTATGTTAAATAATTAGATAATCTTAAGTTAAATGCAATTTTATTTTATTGATATAAAACTCTTTTTTATATTTAACAGTAATTTTGTAAAATTGACAATTAGTTACACAAAACGACTAATGAATAGAAATTGATATAACAATAGCTATAATAATGAATGCACTCTTAATTGATGTTAAAATTAAAGTTATTATAACTATTAGTTTATAACAAATAATCCATTCATTTGTGTCGCTCATCGAAATTGTTCCCGACTTTTGTCTTTTGGAGCAATTGTTCATCAATTTGTGTACTCATTATCGCAACAAAACTACAAACTCTTGAAAACGTAACAAAACTCATGAGAATATCTCAAATACAATAAATATAGGAATTATGGGTTTGTATTGAATAGAAAGCGTGTCTTAAAGTGTCTTAAAGTGTCTTAAAGTCTGGTCTGAATGGTATTATTGAGTGAACCGATGGTCCGGTTCAATGCAGTCCTCATGATGTCGGGTGCGATGAGATGGGGCTCATAACTGGCATCATATCGCTTGATGGGCTGACCAGTGATGGGATGTATTAAGAACTTCTCCCAATTCCAGCGCACGTCCCGCTCATGGAGTTTGTCGTAAAACAACTTCTCTCTGTTACTGAAGTCGGATTGAGTTGAAGGACAGGACCTCTGATCACAAGAAGTGAGAGAATGAGAAAACATATAAACAAATGATTTTCTGAACGCAAAAACGAGTTTTTATTACAAACAGATATAATCGACGATTTTTATAAAACAAGTTTTTACGCTTAAAAAGCAGTTATTTTGTCATGAATTGCGTTTACATTCTTGGAAATCAGTTTTTGGTAAAGTTTTTTCTATACAAAACTTTTTTTATATTGCAATCATATGCTATATTTGCTTACTTTTAAATACGAGTACAACGGGTGCTCTTTAAGCCCATTGACGTCAATCTTTTTAGAGACCATAAAGTTTGGCTCAAATCCATTGCCCGGACGAACATATTTGATACCATTGAGGATTTCGGCCGCATTAGCACCGGGCTCTTGCTGTTGGCATACAAGTTATAAAAAATTTAAAATAAATAGTTTAACCCAGGAATTGGTTGTAGCCTACCTGTCCAAATTGGTTGCAGGGAAAGGCTATGATTTCAAATAATTTGTTTGAAAATTGTTGTTTGAGTGCATTCAGTTGGGGGTAAGTGTGGGATATCGGAGTTTTCCACCGGTGTAAATGCTACTCATCTCATATCAACGCCATTAGTCACTCACTCTGTAAGGAGACTGGCAGCTAACAGAGTTTGTATATCAGTATTTACGAAAGTAACATACATACGAAGCAATCCAATGACTTAACTTTGAGGTTACGCTCGGCTTTTGTCAAATACTGGCCGTTAGCACCGGCCATAAAAGTGGCCAAAACTAGTGGCCATATATACGACTTCATTGTCACCTCTAAAGTGTATAGACTGTTGCCATACACTGGAGAAGTGGAAGTCTTACTGAACCACCAGTTGTGATAACTTATTTGAGTTATCTGTTGATACAAACTATTAACTATTGACTGAACAAACTTTTAAATGAAAACTGCATTTAAATGAGTTGATAGTCGAGTCCTACCCTCCAATTGCCTGTTAGTGACGTATCTTTTCATCCTTTCATTTATCAAAAGGACTTTTAAATTGTTTATTATATAAAAATAAGAAATGTTTATTAATGTTTACAATTTCTTGAAAAGTTTGTTATAAGTAGTAATTGTGATTAGAAATTTAATTAGAATTCCTATTTAATTGTTTATTAATTTTCAAAATTGTTTATACAGTGTACTTGTAATTAGTTTAGATAAGGACTTTGATAAGTTGTTTTGGTCTTATGAATAGGAAGTGGACAAACAGCTACAGTAGCGTAAAAGTAATGCGCTGATTTGAACCAAGGACAAATTGATTGATAAAATTTCTACGAAAATTTTCATTAATAATTTCATCACCATCACTCAAACAACTTTTTATCATATACTTCAAATTATATTTATTTTTAATTACAATAAAAGTTTACAATAAGCTGTTATGAGTAAAACTTATGTAGAAAAAATTATTTAAAACGTTAATTAATATATTGTAATTAAAAAATAACTATCAATCCTGATTACAATTCCTAATTATAACGTTGTTTAGGAATATTGGAAACTAAGTTTTATTTATTGAATATACAGTACAAATGAAAATAACTTTGAATAAATAAATGAACAAATAAAATAAATGAATGCAAAAGAAATTAAAAACAAAATCATATAAGAATTCAATTGAAGGCAATATTAAAACAATTTTCAAGTTTAGATAGAAATGCATTGAATGACAACCAAAGTAAGAATAACTACCGAAGCGTTTGCACCGGCATTACAAGCGTTGCCTTTACCCTGACCTTTGACCGGTTTTGCAGTAGGATTGTGCTGAGCATCTGTTCCGATTGGCTGTCCACTACCTGTGTCACTAGGATTGGTGGTCACATCGAGAGAGTTGGATGGCTTAGACTGTTCATCACCGGTTGTCTCGTCTTGAGAATCAGTAGCCATGGGCTGATTACTGATGTCATTGGAATTGCTGGAGTCCATAGACTGAACATTACGGGTGTCGCCGGTGGTACTGATGATGTCGGAAGAATCAGTACCTAATCCATAGACGCTAGTGGTCTCGCCGTTAGTGGTCTTGTCGTTAGTGTTGGGTTCCATAGGCCGTCCTCCACCTGTGGCGCTGGGATTGGCATCGAGAGACTGTTCATCACCGGTAGTCACACTCTCGATGTCACTGGGAGTACTGATGATGTCGGAAGATAAGGGTTCCGGTATTTCGTACAACTTTTTTGTCTTTTGTTTGGCGTTCACATCAACAGTGCAGCCAATGATTGTCACCAAAAGTAGTGTCAGAATTGGTACTGAATTCATATCAATCACTAAATTGAATAACAAATTTATTTGATAAGTAGAAAACTGTTTGAGGGAATGGTATGCGATATCACTGACTCTAAGACTAAAGAATAGTAAAGAATAAAACTTTTTTGTAACGAATTATGAGTTTTTGAACGAATTTCTATTTGATCATGATCATAGTAATGAAAATCATATCATATGATTCATATGAATAGAGTGAACACTTGACAATGCATTCCGTGTTAACAATCCAATTAAAAGTCAAATCGTGACCTAACGGTAAAATGCAGTGATTATTATGAACTAAAGACGACTAATCGTAATTCAAATTATTTATTGTCTTGACAGTTAATTGTAATATCAACTGAAATCTGTGGACAACTACTGAAGAGATAATGTGTTATATTCTTCAATATCTGTGTTTCTGTTGTGAAGAGGAGAACGAGACTAAACTGAAACGCAAGAAGAGGACAGAGAGACGGAAGAAGTTGATGAATGAGTTGACGCACTCGACCCCCAAATGGCCGCTCTTTGTAGAGCCCAATGACATCGACTCCAAGGAGATGACGGAACAGATATATAGAGTGCCCCAAGACTTCAAGACAGTGGACGACGTGTTCAAAGACGTGGGCTATGAGATAACCGGACAGTTAGGGGAGGGCGGGTTCGCCACCGTATTAAAGGCCCGTCACATTGAGAAACACCTGCGAGTGGCCGTTAAGAGGATAGTAATACCCGTGGAGTTGACGGGACGCAGGCGACAGACGGCTATCACGGACATCAAGAACGAGTTGTTTGTGTTGAGGACCTGTAGGCACCCCCACGTCATCCAAATGATGCGCAACTTCACGATCGTGTCGTTCAACGAGATGACCATTTATGTGGTCATGCAGTTGGCCAAAAACTTCATTTCATATGTATTAATGTGAGATTACATGCTCATTTCAATTGTAATTTTATACCCAAATTTTAAGGGAATTTAAGGGAAGGGAAAGGGATTCCCGACACGTAAGCCGGGAAGGGAAAGAGAATCAAAATCAGGGGTAAGTTTGACCTGTACTGTATGTGAGTGAAAGTGATTTAAAGTTTAGAAAATAATTGAAATATAATGCACCTCTTATTAGATTTAGCAATCCTTTGGTTAGACTTTGTATTCTTAATAATCACAAAAATAGATTTTACATAACACTTAAAGTATCTTTTTTAGTTGCTGTCAAAATATTTAATTCATGTTTAAACTAAGGGTTTAATAAGTTTACTATGAAATGTTGAAGCTATTATTAGATAAATATATAAATAATTTTAAAATATCCTAAATTTAAAATGAAAGTTTATAATTTCATAATTCACTGAACTAAATATTAAAAACAAATAGATACCAAAACATTCAGTAAATTGAAACTAAATTAAGCTGTATCTTAATTAATCATTTGTAAGGGTGTACCCAAAAATTCAATTGTTTTGATAACTACTCGTCTATAGATACCCGCACAAGTGTTTCATTTTTATCACATTTTTTGTACTAATTCAACATTTGGTAGAATATTCTAATACTAATTGAATGATAATAATTATAAAACAAAACATATAAATAGAAATAAAACGAGACAATATTGTACACACATTTCTATAGTGTAACATTCGCTACATTATAGCCAACTATGAGGCCCTATATATTGCCAATAGTTTTGGCCACTTGTATGGCCAATACTAACGGGCAGTATATCGATAAGACGACTCGTCATACAATCGACGGTTCCGTCGACTGTTTCGACAGTAAAAGCGAAACCATTTATGAGTATAAGTTTGAGACGATTGACGGCAAGAAAAACGTGTCGATGAGTGAGTACCGCAACCATACCCTACTCATCACAAATGTGGCCACTTTTTGAGGTCTTACAACACCACACCTAACATCATATAATGCACTCAAACAACAATTTGCTTCAAAAGCATTTGAAATCATAGCCTTTCCATGCAATCAATTTGGGAAGGTTTGTAACAATTGTTGTTTCTATAAATTTGTTTCATTTTAATTTTAAACTAATAAATAATTTTCATTTCCAACAGCAAGAGCCGGGAGCCGACGCTCAGGAGATCATGAATGGCTTGAAGTACGTGCGTCCGGGCAATGGTTATGAACCCAAATATATTTACACCAAAAAGATTGAAGTGAACGGTCAGAATGAAGACCCCCTCTTCTCGTATCTCAAAGTGAGTTCACTATTCATTTAGCTATATATGCAAAACAATTTACTACTGGATTAGACTTATACCGGTAGTAACTCTAAAACTGAAAACTTATAGATTAAACAGAATATAAGTAATTTCAAACTTTAAAACTGTATTATAATTACTATTCATTGCGTTTAACTTGATTGTATTAATACTAAATATTGAGATCATAATTTTAAAATACAAATTAATGTTATACTCAGCGGTCGTGTCCGACAACCCAACATGACTTTGCGAGTCGTGAGTCCCTATTCTATGACAAACTCTATGAACGGGACATTCGCTGGAATTTTGAGCTCTTTTTGATACACCCGTTGACTGGAAAGCCTGTCAAACGATATGATGCCAGTTATGACCCAATGAAGACCGTCGATGACATTAAGAAGATCATTGACTTACACGAGGAATAAGCTGTTGCCACACAATCTTTTCAAATAATTTTCTAAATGTTTTGCATGTAATTAATAGTTTATATACAAATTAATGACGAATTGTTTTCAAAGACTTACCACAAGTAGGAAATAATTTCGATGAACGACACAAACGAATGGATTATTGGTTACTAACCATTAGTTATGATAATCATTATTAAACATCAATGAGTGCATTAATTATTATAGCCAAAGTTGTATCAGTTGTCTATTTGTTAGTCGTTTTGTATAATTAATTATTGATTCATTAAAACAAATGATTAAATTTTCAATTACAACGAAAGCAAAGTTTATTATTATTTCATTCAATATATCGTAATACTATATAATAAACATATTTATAACTATATTTATAATACATTTTGTGTTCAAATTAATTTTCTTGAGATACAGATGAAGAGCCCATTTGAATACTGTGTTCGAGTCTATCGTATTCCTCTTGAATCCACTGATGACGCCGAAGGTCTTCAAGGACTGACCGTTTCTTAGGGTTGGGCTCGAAGATAGCGACGAAGAAGTCTCTGAACTCGGGGCTAATGGTGTCCTTATAGGGCGCGGGGATCACGAGCTTCTTCTTCTGCATCCAACGCAAGGCTTTCTCCATTTTAGTCCACGGGAAGGGATAGTCAGCCGTGAAGACCTTGAATAACATGATACCAAAAGCCCAGACGTCGACAGCAAATGCTTTGTACTCTTTCGTACGATTGCCGACTCTATTATTGATGTATATGTCGTGCAATTCGGGGGCCTTTTGGTTAGGATTTTGAATATTAAAAGTTAGTTCAATGGATCACATAATAATAAATCATATGAACAAGGTGACCGACCATGTACGGTGGAGTCCCACAGTATGTCGTCGACATAATCGCCTGGTTCTTGGACTTGCGGAACACCACTCGACTCAGACCGAAGTCAGCGATTAACACGTTTTCGTTGTCGTCCAGCAGTATGTTTGATAGCTTGAGGTCTCTGTGAGCGATGCCTTTCCCTTTCATGAAACACAGGGCACTGTCGCATCTGCGCGCCCACCGCCCGACACCGGCTCTCACTGATGGCCCCCTTTTGGTGATGAGTTCGGACAGACTGCCCCCACTGGCCAACTGCATGACCACATAAATGGTCATCTCGTTGAACGACACGATCGTGAAGTTGCGCATCATTTGGATGACGTGGGGGTGCCTACAGGTCCTCAACACAAACAACTCATTCTTGATGTCCGTGATAGCCGTCTGTCGCCTGCGTCCCGTCAACTCTACGGGTATTACTATCCTCTTAACGGCCACTCGCAGGTGTTTCTCAATGTTCGCACCTTTTTCTAGTCATACGTTTCGTAATATAATATTATATGTAATTTTTTATTAGATTAAGTTTTTTTTGTCATTTTTCATCATAAATAATACAATTCATTTAATCTATTCATTCATTCGCTTAATTTAATTTAATTCAATAATAATAATCATCAATAATATACAATATATTTATATTAATAAAAAGTTTACAGAAAATGTTTCCATCAATAGATAGAAGAGTTTACATTAAAAAATCAATGAATCAATGAATACCTCAAATCATAATTATATATAAAAATCAATGAAATTTGTTAATAATTTCATGACTAGTCAGTAATAAACAGACAAAACATTTGTTGTATTTCACAATAAGGGAGAAGTGTCTCCAAAAATTTGAAGTAATAATTAAATTATTTAATCAAAAATTGCTTTTGTTTTTGAATTTCAATTGTCATTATCAGGAATCAGTCGGTCATGCGTTCAACTTATTTGACACTTATTTTTGTAATAATTTTATACTCAATTGATATTTAAAACTAATATATAATTAGAGAAATTTAAATAAAACTCAATTAAAATATCATTTATAGGAAAACCTTTTAAAACAAAAATGTGTCGCAAAATACATTTAATTGAAAGGGAAGTAGAGAATGAAAATAAAAATAAAATAAAATCACAATTCAATGGATTTAGTTGTCCCGTAAGTGCACTCATAGCACAGACGTATAAATCCATAAAATATTTATAAATTATAAAAATAAAATTAAAAACAAATCATTTGTTTCACTGCAGCCGTCGGACTAGACTTTTATACTTTCAAACAAAAATTGGGAAATAAACAGAAAAAATGAGTTTTATATCAGAAATACAACTCCAGTCCAAAAGGTAAAAAGTGGTCAAAAAAGTTCAGTTCTCCCTGAAGAGTGCTTTTTTGTTTTGTTTTATACATTTCTATGTATGGAATAGTGGTGTAGAAAATGATTTTTCAATATTTGTTTGTCTCGTATATAAAAAAAGTTTGTATTTTAGTCTCAAATTTATGTTCAAAAGTTTGGAAAATGTTTGATAAAAATTGAATTCACATTAAATGGTAATAAAACCGTTCGCTTGATTGCCACCCATTTGTTTGGCACTCA